CCGTCATTCCCAAAGCAAATCGAGCATGAAACTGGCCTGATTTGAAAGAACCCACTGTTGATTTTGGCACCCATCAGCTCGAAATTTTGCATCACTGCCTTGCTTGACTTTCCTGAATTTTCTAAGCACAGACAGTCCCTCCCACGAACAAGCACACTAACCCATTGTATTGTTGTCTTGTTCATGGATGTCTCATCCTCATCACGAACCTGCTCTCCTCTGATACCAGTTGTCACATGGGCATTTTCTGTCCGCCGAAAACCTGCCCGTTGCGCGGCAGGCAAGTCCCTACTTGGCTCAGCCTTCACCAAATTTCTTTTCGCTTTCGAGGTTTAACACTTTGAATAATATTAAGGGAACAGAGAAAATATAAGGCACACACAAAATTACGGGAACCCTTTTCCAACCTTTTATAATAAATGAATTATGAAGGAAATCTCGAGTTTGGCAAGGTGCCACCACCCTTGGCAGTCACCAACTCACAAAATTGCCGACACTTGCACAATCTGCCTTATAAAAACCCCTGCCTAAGGCATTTCGTGCTACCCACTAATTTTGGCAAGCAATGGCACATAATTTGCCATGATCAAGCCTTGACATAGACAACCCTATACCTACATCCTGCCTGTTTTCCCTCCCTAGTTACTTAGACGTTTTTAGGTGCTTCTAGCACACATATTTATAGTGCATCCAGCCCTATTCAGGTTTCCTATTTTAGTTAACATCCCCCAACTGATAGGCCATGATAAAACATGCTTAAAAACGTGCATCCACTTAGCCCCATGATCAACCACGCCTGGACAAGGCAGTTGTAATCGCTCAACTGCTCAGCCATGTGCCCAACACACTTGGTAATCGCTCCATGTGCACTGCATGTGCGTGTTTTGGCCAGCTGTTGTGTGCCCAAGGCTGGCATTACGCCTAGCCTTGCTCTTTTGACACTGCTCTGCCCCAATGTCAAAGCCACAGCTTGTCGCCCATGACTTAGCCGCAACACGCCCACTGCCACAGTCGCTTGTTCATGTCAAGTCGCCCCAACTTGATCAAGTCTGCCATTGCCAATGCCATAGCTCATATTGGCATCAAGTCACCAAGCCATGATGCCATTTCCCTTGCTAAGTCATTTTCCCACGACATACTTAGATGCCAATCCGCTCACCTAAGCCAAGGCAACACCGTGCTGCCAATGCCACTACTTTGGCACTAAGCCGCCTAGTCTTAGTGCCTAGGTCTTTGCCCATACTGCCTTGTCAAGCTTCCGTCCAGCCTGTCTTGCTCCCTTAAGACCTTGGCCTTTGCTTGCATATAGCCCCACTCATGTTTTTAGTGTAGTCTGTCACACCTTAGCCTTGCCACCATTTGTTGCTATTGACAACGCCTACATTGTCTTGCATGTTGATTGACCCGCACATAGGCCAATGGCAAGGCCATCATGCCAAATCCTTGCCACAGTTGCACCATATGTCGATCAGCTTTGTCAAGGGCCTAATAAACCATGCCAACCAATTGAATTCGATGCCCTCGTTGAACAATCCCAACACATGCTCGCCATTTGCAAAGACATCACAAGTTCAAAATTATCCTTGCCCTCAAGTGCAACGTTTTTCTCATTTGCTTCTCCTGTCTGTCATCCCTAAAGCAAATCGAGCATGAAGTTGGCCTGATTTAAAAGAACCCACTGTTGATTTTGGCACCCATCAGCTCGAAATTTTGCATCATTGCCTTGCTTGACTTTCCTGAATTTTCTAAGCACAGACAGTCCCTCCCACGAACAAGCACACTGACCCATTGTATTGTCGTCTTGTTCATGGCTGTCTCGTCCTCATCACGAACCTGCTCTGCTCTGATACCAGTTGTCACAGGGGCATTTTCTGTCCGCCGAAAACCTGCCCGTTGCACGGCAGGCAAGTCCCTACTTGGCTTAGCCTTCACCAGATTTCTTTTCTCTTTCAAGGTTTAACACTTTGAATAATTTTAAGGGAACAGAGAAAAGATAAGGCAGACACAAAATTACGGGAACCCTTTTCCAACCTTTTATAATAAATGAATTACGAAGGAAATCTCGGGTTTGGCAAGATGCCACCACCCTTGGAAGTCACCAACTCACAAAATTGTCGACACTTGCACAATCTGCCTTATAAAAACCCCTGCCTAAGGCATTTCGTGGTACCCACTAATTTTGGCAAGCAATGGCACATAATTTTCCATGATCAAGCCTTGACATAGACAACCCTACACCTACATCCTTCCTGTTTTCCCTCCCTAGGTACTTAGACGTTTTTAGGTGCTTCTAGCACATATATTTATAGTGCATCCAGCCCTATTCAGGTTTCCTATTTCAGTTAACATCCCCCAACTGATAGGCCATGATAAAACATGCTTAAAAACGTGCATCCACTTAGCCCCATGATCAACCACGCCTGGACAAGGCAGTTGTAATCGCTCAACTGCTCAGCCATGTGCCCAACACACTTGGTAATCGCTCCATGTGCACTGCATGTGCGTGTTTTGGCCAGCTGTTGTGTGCCCAAGGCTGGCATTACGCCTAGCCTTGCTCTTTTGACACTGCTCCGCCCCAATGTCAAAGCCATAGCTTGTCGCCTATGACTTAACTGCACACACGCCCACTGCCACAGTCGCTTATTCATGTCAAGTCGCCCCAACTTGATCAAATCTGCCATTGCCAATGCCGTAGCTCATATTGGCATCAAGTCACCAAGCCATGATGCCATTTCCCTTGCTAAGTCGTTTTCCCATGACATACTTAGATGCCAATCCGCTCACCTAAGCCAAGGCAACACCGTGCTGCCAATGCTACTGCCTTGGCACTAAGCCGCCTTGGCTTAGTGTCAAGGTCTTTGCCCATACTGCCTTGTCAAGCTTCCGTCTACCCTATCTTGCTCCCTCAAGACCTTGGCCTTTGCTTGCACACAGCCCCACTCGTGTTTTTAGTGTAGTTCGTCACACCTTAGCCTTGCAACCATTTGTTGCTATTGACAACGCCCCCATTGTCTTGCATGTTGATTGCCCCATAGATAGGCCTATGGAAAGGCCCTCATGCCAAATCCTTGCCATAGCCACGCCATATGCCGATCAGCTTTGTCAAGGGTCTAACACTAAGTTTTCCCCTATCTCTCATCCCCTCTCTTTGCTTGAAAGAATTCATTGCCACCCTAGTCGCTGCCACCAGAGATTCGCCGGATTTTTATCTGTACTAATAACGGATCGTCATATTACTTCTCCTTGACTTCCACAACAAGCGATGATTCAGCCCTATTTTGCACAATCACCACTCCTTCATTAGAGTCCGCAAGACGAACTCCCAAACTAGCCAACCGATGAACCTCCTTGGCCAACGGCCTTTGATATGTCTCAAAGTGAGTCAAACTACCCATAGATTTCTGTCTAAGAGCATCCGCCACAATATTAGCCTTCCCCGGATGATATAGGATATCGATGTCGTAGTCCTTGAGTAACTCAAGCCATTTTCTTTGCCTCATATTCAATTTTTTCTGCTTGAAAATATATTGGAGGCTCTTATGGTCCGTGAATATATCCACATGGACCCCATACAAATAATGACGCCAAATCTTCAATGTAAATACCACCGCTACAAGCTCTAAGTCATGTGTTGGATAGTTCTTTTCATGATTCTCAAGTTGCATAGAAGCATAAGCTATCACCTTGCCATGTTGCATTAATACACACCCAAGTCCAATCCTTGAAGTATCACAATATACCACAAACCCATCTGTACCCTCTGGTAGGGTCAACACAGGTGTCGTAGTCAATCTTGATTTCAACTCTTTGAAGCTCTTTTCACAAGCATCTGACCATTGGAACTTAACTGCTTTCTGCGTCAATTTAGTCAACGGAGAGGCAAGAGTAGAGAAACCCTATACAAATTTTCGATAATACCCAACTAAGCCCAAGAAAATGTGAATCTCTGTTGGAGTTGTAGGTCTAGGCTAATTCTTCACAGCTGCAATCTTCTGAGGATCAACCTTAATTCCTTTTCTGGAGACGACATGACCCAAGAATGTGATAGATTCAAGCAAAAATTCACACTTCAAAAATTTTGCATACAACTTATGCTGATACAGCGCTGCAGAACTACCTTGAGATAATCGGCATGGTCCTCTCGACTTCGTGAATATACAAGGGCCAATGAAATAATGACATTGTAAGTGGCTAAAAGTACTAATCAGGCTATATATGGTGTGGAAGGTTACGAGGTGAATGTATTTGTATTTCAGTTTCCTTTGTGTGCAAAGCAAAAATATTTTTGGGAGTATCGTTAGTCACCGAGGAATGGTAGGTTGAAATAACCTAACCCCAAAACTACACGTGCCGGTGCAGGAGTGCGTTGTAATTATTCTCTATATTTGGGATGAAATTGATGTGATGAGAATATTCCCCTTAATTGGGATGAGATTATTGCTAGCAAAGGGTGATGTCAATCCACACGGCATTGTGGTGAGACGACCTAACCGATCGGGTCGAGATCGGATGCCATGCCGTACACATGGTGGTGATTGTGATTTTGATTACACCTTTACCCACACACATTAGGGGTGAGGTGGCAAGGCAGCTTTGTGTAGAGTTTGTGATTGAGATTACACCTAACCCGCATGCATTGGGGTGAGGCGGTAGGGTCGCTTTGTGTAGAGATTGTGATTGAGATTATGACTGTGATTGGATGTCTTTGGGTGGGACCGCATAGACGATCGGGTCGTGATCGGACTCCGTGCTAAAATTACGGTGGTATATCGGTACTAATGATCTTCCAACAAAAAATAATATTATTTTCGTACTTTGAAAAGTTTTCTATTATAACCTGATGTTTGGATATCATTGATTGTTAATTGTTGCTTCTACGGTTTTCCCTTCATATATTGGCATTCTATTTCTAAAGAGGACATTTAGCTTCACATACTAGTACTATTCCACATGTACTAACGTCTCTTTTGTCGAGGGCGCTGCAACTTCAATGGATGCAGGTGGTTCATCAGCGAGAAGCTCTGACCCTCGTTAGCAGTTGCTCTCTATTCAGCAGATTTTGGTGAGCCCTACTCTGTTCCGGGCCTTATGTCACTTGGCATTGTACTTGGTGTTTCGAGGTATAGTCGTGGCCTTGTCGCCGACACTTCTATATTACTCTTCTGTTGTACTTAGAGGCTCCTTAGACATAGTGTGGGTTGTATAATGGTGTTGGAAGAGTCAAACTAGATATGTTGTAATTGTATCACATGATCCACTTCAAATTATGAATGTGTAATATATTTTGGGAATTATGAATGAAGCAAGTAATGATAATAGAATTGGTGTTGTTCATGAAATCCTCTCAATGGTTAATTAATGAAATATATCTTTTCTTTATTCGTGGGTGAGTTTGGGTAGGAGGCATTGTACAAGCTTGCTTAACCGGAGTATCTCGATTGAGCGCCGGTCGCGCTCCCCTAGGTCGGGGCATGACAAATACATATTTCATCAAGTTCATGAAAGCTTCTGGGGAATTAGTCAGTCAAAAAGACATCACAAGAAACTCATAGTGACCATAGCGGGTCCTGAATGACGTCTTCAGAATATCAGAATCCCGAATCTTCAACTGATGGTACCTCGACCTCAAATCAATCTTCGAGAACACGCTAGCACCCTGATTGATAACGTCCTTGGAAGCTCAACTCTATTCAAGGATAAGGATGAAACTTTGGAATCTCAAAGAGGGCATTTAATAAGATGTCAAGCTAAAGAGTTGCAAAACAAGGTCATTATACTGGTGCAAATAAAGAAGTTGTTATTTGGGAGGAAGAGCTCAAGGATAAAGAGTATGAATTGGCAACGATACACCAGGCATCGACTTCCCCTTTCTTCCCTCACTCCTCTCCTCCTACTTCCATCCCTCGACACTGTCAAGCTCGACAACACGAAGACTCACCAGATTTTTAGATCTGGCTGTAGTTAAATGCCCCATTTGCTCTCTCTGCCTCGCTGGAAAATCAAATCTGACTGGAGATGGATTTGCCGGCGACCCCTTTGCTTAGTTCTATGGCGTCGCTGCTCTAGTGCTCACTCGCCGTCGTAGTGGCGCCTTGATAAGGGTTTCGAGATTCCCTCTTTACTTTGTTGCTTCATCACTGCTTCAACATCTTTTCCGGCGACCCTGTGTGTTTTTTTTTGTTTTTCCAGTATGGGACATTTGTGGATGCGTTTCGGGAAGGGCTGTTTTGTTTTTACAACTGACTTAGTGTTATCTTCGACTTTTCCGACGATTTATGCAGTTTTCGGCGACCCCAACTGTTCATCATTACTCCTTGCTTGTTGTTTGTTGCCTTAACACTTATCGTGGATGTGATTTTGTATCGTTGGTGGACTTATTCGAGTTGTCTTAATATTTGCTCCTGTCGTTGCCGACGGCTTCCGTTCTTTTGTCGTTGTTCATTGGCTGAAAATTTAAATATCACTTCTAGCCATACAATATTGATTTTGGGGGTTGGTTTAACTCTATTTTGATGGTTGACTACTGTAGATAATAACTTGCATAAAAAAAATAATCGAGACCAAAAAACATATCGCTACAATCGTAGTATTTGATTTCAAATAATTTGAGTGTACAATTTCTATGAATCCTCTGATTCTTCTTTCCAATAGTAAATAAATTTAAGGGCTCTTGAGTTTGATCTTGAATATGTAGTTGTTGCCACGAACGATGATCTTGAGTTCAACTAGCACGAACTTTGATTTGAACTCGTACTCCTTGAATCTTGATTTGTTCTTCGTTCTTGAGCTTGATCGCTTTAACTTGAACTTGATTTGTTCTTCGTTCTTGAGCTTGAACTTGATTTCTTGAACTTGAACTTAATTGCTTGAAGCTTGAAACTTGTAGAAAAATTTGTGGCATTTGATCCACGAGCTCTCTCTTGCTTCTTGTTATAGCTTCTAGCATCTTTTCTGGGGTTATGAAGACTCCTATTTATAGTTGTGGTAGGGAAGAATTATGATAAGAACAAACGCTTTCCGACCAATCAGTTCGAAGTGTGACAAGGCCGCATTTGATTGGCCAGAACATGTCACTTGCACACGTGGTGTGATTTCATTAGCCTTTTAATGTGACTTAGCATGCCTTGTCATTTTGACACGTGGCATGATCCTATTGGCTCTTCCGCTTGACTTAGCGTGCCACGTCATATGACACATGGCACCAAATTGGGCCTCTATGAAGATGGCATTTTGGGCTTAATGAAGTGGCCTCATCACTTTAGCCCACTTAAATGGGCTAGCCCAATAGATTGTGACTTATTTATTTAATCCATATATATTGGATTTATATAATTAATCCAATTATATTAATCCGTAATATTTATTTGGACCAATATATCTTGAATTTAAAATATAATCCAAATCAATTTTTGAATTTAATTCTATTCATTTTATACGCCTACAAATACCCCTACTTCAAAACTTGTTGAGGTATAGACTTGTCATAACCTAAAATGGGTCACGAAGTATTAGCTGACTATCAAATTGTCGCATGCCAGATTAGAATGCAAAGTATCACCCAAGTAATTTGTTACAATCCAATCAATTACCTGAACAATGTAATAATCATTACCTTTGAATAAAGACAAAAGCAAAACCATGCAAACTTTAATTGTAGCCGCCAGTGACATGTAACTTTCCTATTAAGAAACAAATTCTTTCTTATTGTAATGACTATATATGATAATGACTAGATACAATTTGAGTTTCCTTCGAATTCCTACATTGCTGCCGAAATAAGACTACTCCCTTTTCGAAGATACATTGCAATAGCCGAATCCCTTGCGTAATGTAAAATACACAATCCCACATCGGCAATTCACCTTCAAAAACTGCCTTATGACTTCTATATAAATACAATAGTATTCTTTATTCCATTAGTTTCACTTTTAATGTTTGCAAACCACTTTGAGTCTACTTCTGACGATTTGGAAGTATTGACGCGAAGGTAATTTCTTCTTCTTTTCTTGTGCTTTCTTTATTCTATTATTATTTTTATAGGTAAAACAAGAAGGATATGCTCTTGCTTAACGAGATAGTCCATGCATAAAGAAGACAATCTTGGGGTGTGAGGGGATGAATACTCATCCTTGCCCGAATATCAGAGAGATTACTCTCAATGTGGCTCAACTATCGGAGAGATTACTCTCAAAATAACCCGACTATCGGAGAGATTACTCTCAAAATGACCCGACTATCGGAGAGATTACTCTTAAAATGACCCGACTATCAGAGAGATTACTCTCAATGTGACCCGACTATCGGAAAGATTACTATTAATATGCCCCGACTATCGGAGAGATTACTCTCAATGTGCCCCGACTATCGGAGAGATTACTCTCAAAATAACCCGACTATCGGAGAGATTACTCTCAAAATGACCCGACTATCGGAGAGATTACTCTTAAAATGACCCGACTATCAGAGAGATTACTCTCAATGTGACCCGACTATCGGAAAGATTACTATTAATATGCCCCGACTATCGGAGAGATTACTCTCAATGTGCCCCGACTATCGGAGAGATTACTCTCAAGAGACTTACATGTTCACCTTAAGATTGAAAAATATAGTTTTCTTTTAAGAAAATACCCACGAAGAGGCCAACTTAAGGTCTAAAGGGACTTATATGTCCACCTTAAGATTGGAAAGTTATAGTTTCCTTTTAAGGACAAACTCACGAAGAGGCCAACTTAAGGTGCAAAGAGACTTATATGTCCACCTTAAGATTGGAAAGTTATAATTTTCTTTTAAGGACAAACCCACGAAGAGGCCAACTTAAGGTGCAAAGGGATTTATATGTCCACCTTAAGATTGGAAAATTATAAAGCTTCAACTTGAAGACTTCGTGGAGTTGACGACATTGACCTGAATATTTGGAAACTTTGAAGATTTGACGGACTTTGCAAACTTCAACTTGAAAGTGGCGAACGTGAAGACTTCAACTTGAAGATGACGGACTTGAAGATTTCAACTTGGAGACTTCAACTTGAAGACCGACGGACTTGAAGACTTCAACTTGGAGACTTGGAGGGTTTAAACATTTCAACTTGAAGAGCAGCAAACTTGAAGAGCGGAGGACTTAAAGATTTGGTGAACATGAGGACATAATAAATCCCTGAACTTCAGTGCAAATACTTGGTAGCCTCCTAAAAGACTATAATCACCCTATTGAAGACACTGGTTTATCATGAAGGCTTGCCCCCTTTAATTCATATGAGATCCAAAGTTCAAAAGAAGAATGAAATTTCAGCCTGATTTTCAAGTGTTGTTTGAATGGATTACTTCCATTATACTTTATTTGGACAACGACTAGGGCAATATGTATCTTTTGAACTTATGCGACTGAACTCAAAATGAAACTCTAAGCTACCTATGTACCTCGGTGAAGAGGAACAAGTCATACCGTAGTTCAGAATGGGTGGATATTTTTTTATTTTGTTTATTTTTTTATGTCCTAACTTTTGCTTAGGCCGCCCCTTTCGAGGTTTTCAACCTAGCGGACTTTTTTTTTTAAAATTTTTTATGTCCTAACTTTTGCTTAGGCCGCCCCTTTCGAGGTTTTCAACCTAGCGGACTTTTTTTTTTAAAATTTTTTATGTCCTAACTTTTGCGTAGGCTGCCCCTTTCGAGGTTTTCAACCTAACAGACTTTCTTTTTTTTTCTTTTTTTTTTACGTCCTAACTTTTGCCTAGGCCACCCCTTTCGAAGTTTTCAACCTAGCGAAATTTTTTTTTTTGGGTGGGCTGTACACAGTTTAGATTCATACGGGCCAGGAGTGTAGGAACATGCAGCTTAGGCTCATGCGTCAAGGAGCGTTGCATCTTCAAGAATAATACTTCTTCAAAATTTTGCCATTGATAGGGCCGATTCTCATGCCATATGCATCAACTAGCTTGTAAGCCCCACTTGAATAAGCTTCTTGTACGACATATGGCCCATCCCATTTTGAAGTGAACTTCCCTCGTACGGCAAGGATTTGATCTCCTACTTGAAAGGATCTCGGGCGAACTCTTTTATTGAAGGCGCGAGACAATCTAGCTTGATAATATTCATGACTCAGTTGAGCTTCCAACCTCTTCTCATCGAGAGCCTCCAACTCTGCTAATCAAAGTCGAGCATTTTCTTCATCAGTGATCCCTTCTTAAATAGCCAGTCGTAATGAAGGTATTTGACGCTCGAGTGGCAAGACGGCTTCGACTCCATAAACGAGTGAATAAGGAGTCTCTTGTGTTGACGTGCGGTGAGTCATCCTATATGCCCATAGAGCTTCTTCCATACGGTCATTCCAATCTCGTTTGGATTTTGAGATGACTTTCTTTAACAAATTGCATAGATTTTTGTTGAATGCCTCAGCTAGACCATTGGCGGCAGCATTGTACATCGAAGAGTTACGTTGCTTGAAGCCAAAGAGATCACAAATCTTGTTCATCAACCTATTATCGAATGGCTTTCCATTATCTATTATTATGTAATGAGGAATGCCAAAGTGATAGATTATGTTTACTCGGATGAAACTTGCAACATTTTCCTTCTTTACCTCCTTAAGAGCAATATCTTCAGCCTATTTTGAGAAGTAGTTAGTTGCAACCAAGATGTATAGGTGCCCCAGAGGACTTTGGTAGCGGTCCAACAACATCCAATCCCCAAGTGTCAAATGGCCAGGATGCCACAGTCGGGTGCAACACTTTAGGAGGTTGATGAATAAAATTCACATGGAATTGACAAGCCTTGCATCTTCGAGCGTAGTCTAAGCAATCTTTTACCATCGTTGGCCAATAATATCCCATCCTTTTTATATGGAAGTGGAGATTTGGTCCAGACTGATGTGACCCACATACCCCAGAATGTGCCTCTTGCAAAGCTTGGAGTGCTTCTTCTTCCCCTAAGCATCGCAAGAGTACTCCCTCGAATGACCTTCTGTATAGAGTATCAAGGTGCAAGGTGAAGGAAGCAAGGTGCACGACGACTGAGGTACAAACTCTCTCAGGAACATCTATGAAAACTGAACCCATGTAAGTGAAGCTGACTCGGCCGGGCTACCTAAGTCATACGCCCGCCACCGTTGATAAGCCACTCCCTTGAACTGGAACGTAGTAAAAGCAACCCCGGTCATCTCCACAATACCCATAGTACGGAGAATGCGGTGATACTCCTCCAGAAAACCCTATGTATCATTTGTCGCCAATCCACTGAAGGTAGGAGGGTGGTACTTCTTGTACCTCTCAAGTCTAAGTTGTTCTTCCTCAGTTGCTGCTTCCTTAACCACGGGTTGAGCTAGGACCACAGGTTGTGTCGCCATGACACCTGGAACCCGACCAACATGAACTCGCTGCTCTGGAGTATGGGCAACGGGAGTCTGGGTTCCTC